TATATATCCGCAAGTAAAACTCGTCTCGATTTGAACTTCTAGTAATACTTGTTCAACAATAGCTAATAAGCCTTGCTTCAAGATTAGAATCAAGTTGCCTTAACCAAAATACCTCTAATTAAATGAAGAGTATCTATTGCTCAATTGCAGTATCATGTACATCTTAAATGAAATAATCTTACACTTGTTTTAAATATACTTTATTTATATTCAATAATACCTTGTTCTTAAATCCAATACAACTAAATTTGTTACAATAATAATATGATCTTTGACATAAATATATTGATTTTGTTTGAATTATAGGATAGTTTCATTGAAGAAATTAATAATCTTGAAATGAGATCAGGCTGTTCTTGCTTTTTAGTATTGTTCTCACTGGTACCTATCCACCCAAAAACATTTTTCAAAATTGTTTTTAGTTAATATACCAAATTCCTCTGTCCTCTGTCCTCTGAGGTGTCCCACCTATAATTAAAAAAAATTAATTTTATAACTTCAAAACCTAAATGGAACATAAAAGTTTGTCCTACTAAGAGGTCGTATCTACAAAATGAATATTTTTAGTAAATGTGGATAGGTAGATAAGTACGTCCTTTTAAACTTCGCAAATAAGTTTTGCATATTTTACTATTTCTTATAATTATAGTAAATATTTTCTAATGCAAATAGGCCTTTATTATTTTGTGTTATAATAAAATAAAATGTAAGCTTATTAAATTTGTAAGAATCTTGAAATCAGAATTTTCGTAGATACGACCTCTTGTCTTAGCAAGGCAGAAGTCGTCATCCAGCATCATAAATTTTTTTTTACTTCTATCCCAGTTTGTTTCGTGTTCTTATGATTATAAATTTACTTATATACTTATAATAATACCTAATAAGAAGTGAACTCATTTGTTCCATTTCAATTTAATTTAATCATACACTTATTAATTAAATCACAAAGAATTTTTAAGAAAAAACAAAAAGTAAAACGCAATCCTAACGATACTCACTTACTTTACTTTCAAAATCTCTTTATTTACATTATATACATACATTTTTATAATAACACACCATTCATATTTTATATTAAAAGGATTTCTTCGTTATTGTATTCTTGAAGATACTCTTCTAATGATCTCGAGAGACCTAGCCGATGGTATGACCGATTTCGTCCAGTCCGTAGTGTTATAATCGTGAAAAGGTCCCTGTATACTTGGGATCAGGGTTGAGGTCCTGATTTCCATGTATACCGGGTCGTGATCCGATGTTAGAGTCGTTATTGTCCTTGTGTTTTCAATATTAGGTATGTTTTTGGCAGCCGCAATGTCAAGGGTGCTAGGACGGAAGAGGGGGTTGGAAGGGAAGTGGGTGGGGTCTTCAGGATAATGTATGATGATGTCGTTGCTTTCGGCGAATTCATTCTGGTTACGACCACTCTGATTGCCCATTACACAATTAGAATCCCAATGAGGGTGTTTTGCATTCAAATCACCCAATAAAAGGACTCTATTCCCTGACGACATGATTTTATTTATATCAATTTTCCTGAAGGGATTTTGTGGCTTGTTATATACCCCTACAAAGATTATGCTGTTTATCTCTATTCTTAAGTGTTATTGTGGAATATCAAGATTGATTAATTGCTCGTGCGGTAAATTAGATTTGATAAAGAAGGCAACGCCACCCCATGACTGATCTTGTCTGTCATGTCTTGTGGTATCGTACCCTTGTAGTTTAATTTTGTCTGTTTCATTGTAGTGCGTCTCTGTGATAAGTACGATGTTAAAATTATGTTTGTGAATAAAACTGCGTACAAGAGCTGTCTTGTTACGCATCCCATTTGCATTGTAGAAACAAATTTTGAGTTTTTGTTTGTCTCTAGAATTGAATTCAGTTCCTAAGGTTAAAGTTACTGTCTACGTTGCTCATGAATGCATTATAAGTCTCTATAATTTGCTGACCCGAATTACAATTTACAAGTTTAGCATTCAGTGCTCTAATTGCTCTAGTGAGTTCGCCAATATTGACTAACCTGTTAAGTGTGTTTAGTTCCTGATTCAGTGCAGAGAAGTCATTCATGTTGGAGTTTGAATTGGCCGTGGGTGTTCTTACATTCTGCACCTTCTTGTGCACATTTTACACATTTTGACGCGCTACCACAGTTAGACGTTGCATGCCCCCACTGCTGGCAGTTATGGCATTGTATGATTGGTTTGGCAGATTTTCGCAGCTCCCACGTTACCCTCGTGTACAGTACTCTACGTGTGTTCTTGTTTAGATACTCGAGGATAATTGCTGGATCCGTAACTACCAGGAATAGGGGTCTTTCCTTGGTGTTCATTTGAAATATGTTCCGCGCCTTGATCTCGTGTTCTTCCTCCAAGTTGGTTTCGATGTCCACTATCTTAGTACCCTCCGCAAGTCCACGCAGAACAAAAGCGTGGGACTTATCGTTGCTGGAGGTGTACGTGTGGTACGCTAGTTTTTCGGCTTTTATGTTGTTTAAAACACGGGTATGATCGTCCTTGTCTTCGACGAATATGATGGTGGTTGCGTTGGTATGTTTAACGCTGAAATCCCCTTTAATGTATTCTTTCAGGTCTCTTATAAGGGTTGTTTGGTCTTTTGTTTTACCATCGATCACGATCGGTGGCATCGATTTTTTGGTGTTTTTGGTAATTTTTTGTTGACTAATAGCCGCTGTTTCCATACTTTGTTTGTTGATGGTGGCTTTGGGGGTGGGGGGTTGTTCTTCCATATCCATGGGTCTGAATTTAGTCTTTTTGACTATCTTGCCGATTTCGTCGTCCTCTATATCGGCATCAGATTCATCGGTTAGGGGTGTGAATTTGTTTTGAGTGCTAATTATAGTGCTCTTAGTCTTCTCCCGGATCAGCTTCTCAAAATTGGATGAGAACTTCCTTGGAGTTGTGAAGGGTAACTCGATACTCGCCTTCTTTGCTGCTTCAATGTCACGTTGTTCTTGTTCATATTTAGCTCGTTCAATACTATTCCTGTATTTAAACAGGCTGTTTAGGGAGTGTGGGAGATTCCTATACGGGTCATCCTCGGATGTGATGCTCGATTCATATCCCAGTATGTTTGAGTCTACACTGGTAGGAACTCCACGCCTGTTTTCAGGCCTTGTTCTTGGATCTACATTTTTTTTAATCGTGCCCTGTTCTTTGATTTCTATATTGGCCATGTTTACTGTGGCTCCTAGGATAGTGTTAGGGGTGTGGGGTCATACCCAAAACGAAAGCTACTCAATCCACCATCGCTTTGAGCAAATCCCACACCTCCTATTGGTGTGAGGGTGTTTTGACTCGCATTATTATGGAAATCATTAGTACAGAAATCAAGAAGATTGCTAATAACATTATCAGGTAGGCTTAAGGTCCAAAAATGTTCTCCTGCGGGATTTGTTACATATGACGATACAAATTTGTCTTCAACTGGGGATTTTTCACCCGACTCCCTATTTTTGTTGTATGTGTCCACCAATTGCTGTGTCCAGTTTGTTGCTGTCAGTACTGGATTGCGAATTTAATGACTCATCGGACTTTTCCAGGTCATTAATAAGTTTAATGACTGAATCGTCGTATTCTTTACTATGTATACTATTCGCACTGTCGTCCTGACTATCTAAGTATTCTAAGGACTCATCTGAACCTGCTACTGACGCTTTTCGCGGGTTTTCCCCTTCCACGGGGTTTGTTGCCGGCTGTGCCGCCTCACCAACACCTTGGCGGTCGCTTGAAGGTCGTTCAATAAAAATTTTGGCCGGGGGGAGGGGGGGGGGCTCCTGTTTCGTGCAGTTGACCCCGGTGTCCTAAGTTTAGTTTTAACGATACGATGCAAACATGTTAGAAAATGAACAATCAGTGTTGTTCTTGGGCCAAAAAAATCGTAATAGACAGGCGCATTAAAACGTAATTAATTTCAGTAAAAGGTAATAGATTTCAGTAAAAGACACTAATTGTCATTTAAGATCGGATTCCTTTATATTTTGGCGCATGCGCAAATTTCAATGGATTGTTTCAGACTTAATCCAAACTGTTTAAGCATGCGCGATTTAAAGATAATAATATTTTTTAATTGTGTTTACTGGAAATGTAGAAATTAATTGTGCATGAGAAGAATTTACCAAGGCATTTTTCTTGAATAAATAGTAATAGATTTTAGAAAAACGTAATAACGTAACATTTAAACCAAAAAAGTAATAGATTTATTACAAAAATACTGACAAGAACAACCCTGTGGACAATAGGATGAACATGTGCTAATGCCAATTTGCCAGGTTCTCTATAAATGCGTTGTGTCTCTGACTTCCGAATAATAAGTATTACATCTCAACATGTACCAGTCATATATCTACCGTATCAGTGCAGGGGTTGCATTTTAAAATAAGTTTCAGCTGGCAACACCATGCAGTGAATAAGTACTAGCTAACCTTTTGTGAAGTACATAGGTTTTTGATTCGAATTGTTTAATTCTTGTTCTGAAATTTAAATGCTTTGAATCGAATCCTTTTATAAAATTGAATCAAGTACGCAATAGTCGGTTTTAAGAGCATATCATACTTATAATAACCGTAAGAGCTTTCTTGGATTAATTCACAATTCTATACTTGAATGAAATAATTTATTCTCAGATTAATTATTATAACTCTTAAAATACAAGATTATGCCTGTACTTTACTCAACATTTATTTTCTTATTGTATCGAGAAATATTATTTGAAGCAAACTCTGTTTTATTTCAAACAAATGTAATCTTCCAAGTCCATCTTGAATGTAGATGATAATTCTTTTCTGTGTAGAGAGAAGAAATTGTACGTGACATGCTCGTTATGAGTTTAACGTTGACGCTCACGTCATTTACCTGCATAACAATTTATCTGGTTATTTTCTAGCCGCACTAATTGTACATAAAGTGTGTCTTTCGATTAACGTATAATAGACGATTAAAAATTTAAAAAAGTATAATACCTAAACTATATCTTTGTTTCAGTTTCAACAACCTACTGCTACAAAAGGAAGAGTTGGAACAAAAGCATTTACATTTATTACAAATCGTCGAATCTGAAAAAACAGCTAAATGGCAATATTCTTTAGAATGTGTGGAGCTCGCAACAGAAATAAAGAAGCTGAGGGCAGAGGTAAAATTAATAATAATTCATGTTAAGTACAGCTTTTTGCGTTTAGAAAACTTGTATCTAAAGTAACTAAACGACTGTCATAGGCAACTTCTACATGTTATGGAAAATTTAGGATTTAGAGGTGTATCCTATAAACTACTTGAGAGTTATCTTACTAATAGAAAACAAGTGGTTTAAATAGATAAAATAACTAGCAACTCTCTTCCTATTACATATGGAATACCCCAAGTTACAGTTTTAGGGCCACTCCTCTTTATTCTCTACTTAAATGACATTTTCAAATTAGACTTGAGGGGAGAAATAGTAAGTTTTGCAGATGACACAGCAGTTATTTATAACGATGCAAATTGGCCCTCTCTTCAAAGAGTAGTACAAGACTTTAAAAAAATGATTAATTGATTTAATAACAGACTCCTAACAATTAACTTCGGAAAAACGTGCTTTCTTCCCTTCGCATCCTATATAAATGGATTGCCGGTCTTTAATAAACTCTACATCCAGTGTGATGAACAAACAATTAAAATTCATAGTGCTGATAACATTAAATATTTGGGAATCCATCTTGATCAGCATCTTAAATGGGATAAACACATTCAGCATCTTTCAAACAAATTAAGACAGATCATGTTTAAATTTAAATATCTCTCAAAAGTTCTCACTATCAGTCAAATGCGAATCATTTACTATTCCTTAGTAGAAAGTCATCTTAATTATGCCATCGTTGCCTGGGGCGCTGCAACAAACAACTTTATAAAAAAACTAGAAAACATATAATAAAAATTATTTATAATAAACCACTTACCTTTTCCTCTAATATTTTATATCAAGAAAGTGGTTTTCTTGACGTTAGGCAAATATATTTTTTATTTACAGCTGTTTATCAAAATAAACATAAGGAAAATTTATTATCGTCTCATACTTATACAACTAGACAAAATCAAAATCAATACAAAAAGTAAAACATTAGATACTTACGCAACCTAGGCTTCTATTTCAACAGTATATCGATATTAACAACACCTACTACTAGTAATAAATAAATTCATAAATAAAATAACTTCAAAAAAAAATAACTTTTCATAATTAATTCATGTATAATACCATAGTTTCATATAGATCTACTTTCAAGTTTTTTTAACTTTAGCGATTCTATTACTGTGGATATACATGAAATACTTAATCCCTTTCAAGACACCTATAAGGAGTTTTTAGGGATACTTTTTTACGTTTGTTCATAAAGTGTATTTTATATCTATTTTATGAACCAAACAGTATTTGTAAAATTGTAAAATTGTAAATTGACTAGGCGACAACCCTCTTTTTTTAAATAACGTCCTCACGGCTACGGCAATAACGACATAACCATTATACATTCTTAGAGTGGAGGCGGAGAATATACTTTATTTGAATTTAGAACATTCTCAGAATATACTAAGTACGTGTTACTGAGAATGTACTGAAGTATGTGAACAGTATTCAATAAGTATCTAATTTGATAAGTATTTAAGTTTAGCATACTTGACACCCTAATAAAGAAAGTTTCATTAATATTGAATATTAGAGAACAAAGAGGTGTATATAATGAAAATCGTGCAAATTTTTTAAATCTTATTTCCAAACATTTATACTTATTATTCTTATTTTTAATACAAATTCTGTCTTTGGCCATAACCAACCAATGTTCTATTGTATCGACGGCTTGCTTATATTGGATCTTCATTAAACCTAAACAAAAATAGAAACTTGGTACATATACAAATTAAGTGTACAGAACTAGTTGAATATTTTAAATATTTTTGTGGAACGTAATACATTAAAAATTTTATATGTACTACTACCAGTAACTGAAACTGAAATAAATAATATCATTAAATCACTTTTGAAAAAAAAATCACCTGGAATAGATAGTATTTCCTCGGAATTAGTAAAAGAAAATTCTGATACATTAGCACCACTTTTGATGGATCTAATTAATAACATTTTTGATAAATATGAGTTCCCAGCCGAATTAAAAAATCTTTAATAGTACCAGTACTACCAGTCTTTAAAAAAGGAAAAAATAGTATGTTTACAAACTACAAAACTATTAGTTTAATAACAGCTTTTACAAAAATAGCAGAAAAAGCCTTAAATTTACGTTTAAAAGATTACTCTCAACAACAGATGCGATCTGTGAGTTGATAAAAAATGTGTAGTTCTGTTGACTGCAAAAAACCATGTTTAGCAGTTTTCCTGAATTTTGCCAAGGCCTTCGACACTGTAGCTCATAGACAGTTGTTAGAGACATTGGAAGATTTAGGGATACGTGGGAAAATTTTTCACCTTTTTAATAGTTATCTGAACAATAGATTTCAAAGAGTTAAAATCAATAATGAAATCAATGACGAGAGGCCAATAGAAAGCTGTGTTCCTCAAGGAACTATATTAGGTCCCACTTTTACAATTTATATAATTTACAGACCACAGGAGAAATAGTAAGTTTTGCAGATGACACAGCGATTTTTTATGAAGCAGAAACTTGGGACGATCTAAAACGGAAAACTGAAAGAGATTTAAAGAAAATATTAGACTAGTATTCCCATAAAAAATTAACCATAAACTACAATAAATCTTTCTTTTTACCATTTGTCAGCTACTCCAGTAATCTACCTCAATTTAGTGACATTAGCTTAACTTATAATAAAAAGAAAATAACATTGGAAAAAAAATGAAATAAAATATTTAGGAGTTACCCTAGATTGTCATTTACGTTGGGACGCACATATAAATAACTTAACAAATACCTTAAGACTTCTCTTATTTAAATTTAAATACCTCAAAAATATTTTACAAGTTACTAAGAACTATTTATTATGCTTTAGTCCAAAGTCGTGTACAATACGCAGTCGTCTGTTGGGGTGCTACAACCAAAAATTACATAACCAAACTTGAAACATTACAAAAGAGAATTCTAAAAATAATACACCACAAAAAAGTTAGATACCCAACATTGTTCGAGGAAGTAAATATAATGGCTATACGACAATTATACATATACTCAGTTATAATTATTCTAATCTACAAAAATAAACAATTATTAAACAAAATTAGCCATAACTATGATACAAGAAGCAAGGATAAAGGAAAAGTTGGTACCCACCATGTAAATAAAACAATAGCAAAACGTTTTTGTATTTATTTAAGTGCAAAAATCTTTAATTATTTTCTAGATATGTACAAGGCATATTTGCAAATCATAAATTCCGTTGAACTCTTTAAATCTAACATCAAAAAATTTCTTATTAATTCGGATAGAAAATCCCAAAGAGAAATAATAGATTAAATATACAAGTATTTGAACTTATATATTATAATTTAGTTGTAATTGTATACTTTTTACTTGATATTTTTATTTTATACATCTTTATTATTTATATTTCATATGTATTTTAAATTATGTTTTTTAGCTAATTTTATAATGTTATTGTTCAGTAATTATAATTTAATATGTATTCTTTAATTAATTTAATTAGATTTTTAATTAGATTTTATGAACTTTAATAATGTAATCTACATATTTAAAAAAAATTGTTCAAAAAAAAATGATTTAAAAAAAAATTATTTCAAAAAAAAAAGTTAATAATTTGGCAGCCCATGCGCAACCACAGGTTCATAAATGGGCAGCAAATACTTTTAATAATTAAGGTACCTATGTCAATTACTCTATTAATTTAAAATTATTTAAAATGTACCTACAACTATGATGTAACCAAAAAACAAAAATGCTGAATAAAGAATATTATTATTATTATTATTATATTATTACTAACAAAAACAAAAGTTGCATACATGATTCTTATGTTTGGTAAAAATTTTAATATTTTTTTATTAATTACTTATCACCATTTTGTAGTTTTCGTCCTCCCTGAATTAATTTTCTAATTCTTCCAGGTCCATTTGTGGCCTTACAGACTTTTGGATTAGTAAAAGGGTTCTGTTTATACATTATTTATACGTTAATTCATGCTAAGAATATATCTTTATTTTTATTAATTTTATAAATACAACTGGACAATGTAATTAACTTATTTTCCCATCGTCGTAATATACAGGGTGTCTCGAAATTGGATGGTCATATTTTAAGAGCGTAATCTACATCTTAAAATAGTAGTAAAAGTTTATATAAAGATACGTCCGAAAACGTTTCATTTCCTAGATACAGGGATACAGGGTATTACAAGGGAAGTCCTGATAGCACATTTTTGTAAATATTTTCTAAAATTTCTTTTCCAAAGATGAAAAACAAATAAAATGTCTAATTTCACAGGCCTACTAATTATTGTTTAGACTTTCGAAGAAGAAAACATCAACTTATCATGAAATTTTCAAATGCTTTTCTCTTTAAAATCGTGCGTCCTAGCGAGATGCTACAAAAGTAGCTTTATTGTAAAGAAAATATTAGTTTTCCAAATTTTGTAGTCAAAAATGTTAAAAAACAATTTAACCCTTAAGCCCCTTCCCTAATTTACACACCTATGAAAATGATCAAAAACTGGCGTTTAGTCCATTGAATAGAGCGTAAAAAGTTTAGCATTTATACTAAATTTCACTTAGGTATCTTTAAACGTTTAGTAAATATTTACAAAAATGTGTCATTAGTAATTCACTTTGAACACCCTGTATCTCGGAAACGAAACGTTTTTGGACCTATGTTTATATGAACTTTTACTCCTATTTTAGGATTTAGATTACGCTGTTAAAACATGACCTTCTAATTTCGGGACACCCTGTATACAACACAGTAGTATTAACGTGTATTAAAATCATATTAATGTTCTAGGGTTGAATAAACCAGTGAAATTAATAATTATTACTAAAGAGTAGATTTTTCAGCGCACCCACCAAAATTTAAAATATTAATACCTAACGCTAATAAGGTTCTCCACCAAATTTTTAAATTTATTTTTTTGTATCATAATGTGAAATATTTATTATGTAAACCTGACTGTGAAAAATTCAAAAAATGTAATCTGTTTTTGTAGTCGATACTGTAATTTTTTACATTTTAAATATAGCAGTCAAATTGTTAAAAATTATTATAATAGAAAAGCATTTTCATCGCCTCCACCAAAATTTTAATATCTGTTACATACCTAGTAAGGCCATCCACCAAATTTTTAAATTCAATATTTTTTCACTGTAACATTATTTAAATTTAACACCAATATTGAAAAGTATTGTTTCTGTTTTCGCTGAGAATTGATAGTTTTGACACTACAGTCACAGTAATCGATGTTTGAATTTTAAATAATAATAATAATAATAATAATACCCTTTTAAGGCAAATATTTAAGATAACATTAAACTGAAGTTTTTGTTTTTACATACAAAACATAGACAAATCAACTGAGGATGTGTGCAATAAATATCTAACCAAAATATCAATAATGTGTTTTAAAAAATGATGAAATTAAGTTAATGCACAGTAACTTTACTTTTTCCAAAATTTTAGAATGTGAATTGGTTCACTCTGTCTTTAAAATAGTTTTAGTCCTTTGGTGGGACATCATAAATTATTTACTCAATATTATATAAAGAACTTTATTTAATACAATAGTTTAAATAGAAAAATAACTGAACTTAGAATATTTAACCCTATTCGACGTCACCTCTGGTTGCTGGTTCTTAAGATACCAGATTTTTTTTGTAGAATTCCTGGTTGTAGAATATGAGGTACGTGCTGGGTATATAATTTATAGTATCTTCTAAGAATGACCTGTTAAAGTACATGCTTGATATATACTTTTTTGGATATACTTTTAGGGCATGTACTCAGTATATACTTTTTAGAATATACTTTCAAAGTACATTCTAGGCAAGTTCTAAGAACATTCTAAAAAGGAAATATCAAAAAGAATATAAATAGAACGTTCTCAGTATATTGATAGAAATTTAAAGGTATGTGGGTTGGTGTTTGTTAAGCCACGTATTTTCCTAAAAAGTAAATTATAGCAAATATTCGCTCGTTTACGTCGAGGAATTGGAAAGTGAATATGACAGATCGAAAACATGTTACTTTGTATACGTGCGTCAGTTTTTGGTATACATAGTTTGTTAGAAATTGAAAAAATGCATTGGTGACAACTTTGTTTAAAAAAGACATGAATGTAGTAGCAGTTGTTTATTTAATAAATAAATTGATTTTTTTATACAAATTAAAAATAAAAATGGCTTCTTGCTAACTGAAACTGGTAACTAAATGTAAGTGAGTAACTAATATTAATAAAAATACAATTGTGAAACATAAAATTAAAATCAAGTTAAAGTCAATATTGAAGTATCGGGTTTCAAAATAAAAAACTACGTCGGCCATATTTAAGGAACCTTTTATCCTACAGATATAAGAAAATAATTTCCATGTATACACACAAACAATTAAAAAAAAATGAACAAAATTTTTTTCACATATTTTAAAATTATAAACATCAAAACATCTACGAAGCACCTCACAAAACAAGAGTTCAAACAAAACGCCCATTGTCAAAATATAGCATGAACGGATATTGTTTCTTTTCTTTTCAATCTTATAAAGACTACTGTCACCCATCCCATAATGCAACGGCTAACAAATTCTACCGAGTCTCCCCTACTATCTTACTTCCAATTTTGCTAAATTTTGAATGATGTACTTAGGACCGCTCCTGGCGAGCATGCATTGCATGCTCCGCGCGCAAGCGCCAAAATTTAGGAGCGGCAATTACTATTGTAGAAACGAATAGAGGTAAAAATAGAAAATAGAGCTATCGAAAGGAGAAAAAAATGTATACTATGTAAAGTATTTTTAATATCGTTTTAGAATGAAATGTAATTTTAATTTAATGGAGGGTCATAAAAAACAAGTGAAAATTTGAAAAAACGGATAGAAATAAAAATTTAAACTAGAACTAGAAACTAGAAAGAAAATAAAATGTTATATAATATAGAGTATTCTTAATAATTATTTAGAATGAAAATATAATTTTTATTTAAGGAAGAAACATCCCTAGCTCGTAAACCAAGAGGTGTTTCTCTTATATCGGCCGGTGTTAGCCGATACTCGCCGAACACAAATATTCTAATAAATGAGAGCGTCGAGCAATCGTAGAGGATATGCTCGATTGTCTCATTTTCTTGTTCGCACCCTCTGCAGAGTGCAGATTCTGACAGCTCCATGATATAGACATACTTCCATACTTGGCAATGACCTGTCAGAATGCCTGTGATTAAGCGAAGATTATGTCTAGTCATAATCAAGTATTTGTTTGCTGCAGTATTGTCAGGATAACTTAAGAGCTGCCTGGCAGCTCTGCAGTTTCTTGTTTCATGTTACATGAAACAACTTAAAAGTCAAAATTTTAAAAAACATTTATCCATATTTCTGCAAACAAATAGCTAAAATTGAAATTAAGCATATAAAATAAAACTAAATAATTAAAAAAAAACTTATTTTTTATAAATGTAATTTATAGTGTATAGCGGGTTGGTTAAGTGGAAGGCAAGTTTATGATATCACATCATAAACTTGAAATGTTCTTGTTTTTGTAATTGTTTTTTTTTTGTGTAATTGAAATATGTGTGAATAAAACCTTCTTCCATAGCAAATGACGTACATACTTCTTTTTCGCATCATACTTTTTAATGCGCAATATCATTATTTAGCTATTTTTCTTCTTTAGATATGCGCCTTGAAAAAGGAATGGGAACCTCGCCACACTTCGAGCGGAAGCTTATCTTCGACTCAAGGGTCTTGCAGTTCCGGCGTTAGCGGTTACTTCGCTAACTTAGAACAAGACTCTATAGAACTTAGAAAAATCAAGAAAGTTCAAAGCTTTTTTCGAGGATGGTTATGTAGAAGACGATGGAAGCAAATCGTCGAGCAGTACATTAAGAGTCCCCACGCTGAAAGTATGAGAAAAAGAAACAGTTTGGTATTCCGGATGGTTGAAGATGAAGAGGAATATATGGAGCAGGTGGAAGTTTTAGTTACTTGCTTCTTAAGGCCCTTTAAGATGGCGGCTTCTTCTAAAAAACCTCCTTGCTTACACGAAGATGTCAATTCTATATTTTTGAATATCGAGACGGTGTTGTTTCTGCATCAGATATTTTTGAAAGGTCTTACTTCTAGAATGGAAAGCTGGCCCACTCTTGTCTTAGGTGAGTATTATTTTTTTATTATTATTTTGATTCCCAATTATATTACAATCTATCTTCAACTCTTTCAAAGAAGATATTAATAAATATGTACATACAGTTAGAAATTTGAGTATTCGGATGCTTTGTGAATTAGGATGTATGTAATCGTCCCTTTTGTATTCTATTTTCTGTAAATAAATAAAATAAATTAATTAACAAGAAATTAAAATAACAAAGCAAACAATCATTTTGGTTTGTTTGAATAAATACAAATGGATACGTAAAATAAATATTTTAGAGAAACTGAAGGGAAATTATTGAAAACAATTTGAATTACATTTTAAAACTCGGGCATTCATTTTTGTTTGTAAAAGGTAATTAACAATAGCACTATTAACAGAAAAAATATTAAATATTTATGGATGATTTGTTTCAGTACTGTAAAAAATATTTTAGTTGATTTTTTCTGAAATTAGAGCAATATTTTTAATTATTTTCAATACTTATCATTACTAAAGGGTTTTAAATCTGACTTATTGGGGGAAGCGTTCCACTTATAATTTCAAACAATAAATAATAAGAGCATTAATTCGAGAAAACTACATTTATTTTCTTCATAATTTTTTTATTAGAAACCGTAAATTTGGTAAAGAAAGGCTTTCTTATGATAATAGGATTTTCTGAGTACTTACTTTCGTATGTTATTTTCAAACATACGATTTACAAACACTGAATAAAGTATTTATACAAATTAAATAGTTGTTTGTGCAACAAGAGTGGATAGGTATGAAGACCAAATCGCACCAGTGAATATCGCAAACGAAGTTTGAACACGACGCCGCGTAGGCGGAGTGCTTAATCGTATGAGTGCGATACGGACAAACCACTCGAATTGTATACCATATTTTTTTCTGTCTTACTAAAGAAAATCTACATTTTAAAAAGTAATTTAGAGTTTATTAACATAAAATAACTATTTTAAAATAATTAATACAAAGATTTGAATTTCTGAATTTTACTAATTTATAAAATAAAATAAAGTTGAAGAAAAGAGATTTGGCTTCAACCGGGATTTGAATTCCAGACGTGTCGCATGGGAACTCATCACTTAAACTTTTGTGCCAACAGCTTACAATTTATATCCCTTAACATTTATAATTCTTTATAAATATTAACGATGAATATCTAGTGGAATGCCATTATTCATCAATTTTTCTAATTATCCTAATAACCAAAAACGTACTGACAATTAGTTCGATAGAATTGTCACTAATTTAAATTTAAAAATAAAAGACTATTTAGTTAGTGATCTACTAAAAAAATCCAATTGGCCATTATATACTGCCTCCATTGACGTTTTTTTTTGAAAATAATTGTTATCAAATCGAAAGTATTTCTGAAAAATATCAATTCTTAATTAATAGTATAAACAATGCTGCACAAATATCAATCCCACAATATAAACCGTACGCATGCAAACTTCGTAACCCTCCACCATGGTGGAATGCGGATTGTGACAAAATAATTATAGAACGGAAATTATCGATTTCAACTCATAAACAAAAAGCAAATTTTGAAAATTATATAGAGTGTCAGGCCATAATGGCAAAAAGTAAGAAAAAACTTAAAATTGGGAAAAAGAAAAAAAGAAAATTGGGTAAATTTTGTTTCTTCGCATCTCTATTTGTCTATACATCAAGGCCATAACTCTGTCACTTTTCCTTCTTGGCCGGAAACGTCAGAATTTCCAACGTTGCTGGTTGTAAAATTTGCAAAGTAACTATTAAAGTGTAGTAATAAATAAATTGCAATAGAAAAATATAATTTTTTACATCAAATTACCTATGAAATACGAACATACTTTTCTATGTTGGGGCCATTTAGTAACCATAATACAGGTAGTAGTAGTAGTAGTATGGTAGTAGGACTTCTCGCGGAGATTATTTGCTGTCGATGGGTTCATATGTCTTTTTAAAATCAGCATTTTTAGTTTATAATTATTAGATACTTCATCTGGAAGTGCATTCTATCTTTGGAAATATATTATTATTTAATATGGTATACAACATTCTATGATTTATTTAGTCATCTTATAATATTTAACTAAATATGTGGCAACGTCACTCAACCTGGCGTACAACCCGATAATCGGTATATAAGATACCAATAGTAGTTAAAAAAATAACCTTAATTGTATGTTGTTATTACTACTAGTAGATGGTGGTATTAAAATTTAAAAGATATCTGCAAGTTTTTTTTTAGAATTATTTTTAGTCAATGCCAACTAACGGTTATTCCTGAATTATTAGCAAATTGATTGAATAACTGCTAAATAATTGTAAACTAAAGATAAATATTTATCTAATAGAAAGATCAATAAAATAATGGCAGGTTTTTTAAAAACTTGCTATTAGATATTGAATAATGAGAAGTCAAAAATCTTAGGTAGATACTTGTATAAGCCGAATTTTCTCAGTGTAGAATGGTGGCTCTCTAGGAAAAACCTTTTACCAAAGTCTCAATTTGGTTTTAGGAAAGGATACAGAACATTAAATGTACGCACCACTCTTGTCACTGATGTTCAGCATACTCTTTCCAATAACAAATATTTGCCAACACTATCCATTGATATAGAAGGTGCATATGATAGCGTCTGCTTAACAATATTAAAAAATAAGATGATTAACTTATTCCACATACATCCCCAACTTGCGGAAACAATTGTTGATTTTTATACACAAAGAAAGTTGTATATAAGAACACATAATAATAAAATTATAGGACCGAGATATAATAGTTCTGGCATTCCACAGGGTTTAGTATTGAGCCCCTTGCTGTTTAATATGTACATGGCCGATTTTCACGAAATCTGTATCAAAAATCCATCTTTCAAAACAATACAGTATGCTGATGATTTTTGTATATATACCGAATCTAAAAAATATGATTCTTGTTTACATTCTTTGGAAAAACTTCATAAATACTCTTCTAATTGGTTTATAAGTAACGATTTCCTAATGTCACCCAGTAAATCTAATGTCTGCATTTTTCTCGACACAATGTCTAAATATCGAAAAACTAAAATTAAACGGTAACGATTATCCTTTCTGCAAATCGATTAAATATTTAGGAATGGTTCTTGATAAGAAATTGACCTGTGCTAAATAGATGCAATAGGGGTTTAAATTTCTTGAAATCAATATCGAAAACCTGGTGGAAAGCGGATGTCGAAACTTCTTTGTTATTTTATCGATCGTACATAAGATCCATTTTAGATTATGGTTGTATACTTTATGGATCAGCAAGTAATCACATTTTAAGAAAAATTGATGTCTTTCAAAATACGATACTTCGCATTTGTATAGGTGCTATGAAATCAACCCCTATCGATCCACTGCATGTCGAAGCATTAGAACCTCCATTATGTTATAGAAGAGAATATCTCAGCAACAAATTTCTAATAATAGTCCGATGTACAAACCCTACCTTGTATTTGTATTTGTGAATTAAATCATTTTGATTTAACACAAAAATATTGGATACATAAACAATCTCCACCACTTTGTGAAGCTTTTAGAAATATTAGCAATTATGAGGATCTAATCAGAATAGATCATTGCTTAGATTTTGAGGATTTCTTTGCCTTTTTTAACACTATTAATATTATACAACCAATTTATCATGAAAATTATAAAATAAGTTCCAATATTTTGAACTCACAACTAGAAAACTAGCCTGATTCTACAAAGATCTACACAGATGCTTCCAAAACTTCAGCTGGTACAGGATGTGCCTTTTTCATCCCTTCTACATCTACAGAGAACGTTTTTAAGTTACCATCAAATTTTTCAATATTTAGTGCATATATGAAGCTATAAAATACTTTAAAATATCTAATAATAATACTGCAGTTATTTTATCTAATTCCCTATCTGCATTACTTGCTATTCAAAGCCCAAGGCTTCCTTCCAATTCATCGAATGCTTATATTTTGCTCATTAAAAATATACCATTCGAAATCCATAATACATCGAAAACGGTTTAATTAATATGGGTTAAAGCACACCTAGGGCTCAAACGAGTATATAGATGTTTTGGCTTAAAGCGCAACTACCAATGGCTCACCGACAAGTTATCAGCTGTGCAGTTTGGATGCTCTTGCAATTGAGAAACAACGTCAAATGAAAAATTGGAGAAAATCTTGGACAGACTTTTGCAAAACCACTACAACTCAATATTCAAAAATACAACTAAAAATTCCGAATGTGCATTGGTTTAAAAACTATTTACTTCCTCGAAAATATATCACAACTATCATTAGATTGAAATTTGGACATGCATGTTATCCAGCACATTTATTCAAAATCCATGTTATAGATTCGGAGATATGTACTGTGTCAAGAGAAAGGCGATCTAAATCATATTTTCTTTAGTTGTGCAAACTATACCTAACAATCTCAAGATCTGATACAAGATCTAATTAACAATAATATATTTCCTCCATTTAACATTTGCCATCTCCTCTCACTTAATCAAAAAAAATTTACGACCTCTTGATAAAATTTGTGTATGATCTTCTTTTCTTGCTTAGGACAAAAGTGTGTGTGATTGAATGTATGTATTTAGAGTGGTAATGCAATTTAAACTTATATAATATATTTCGCGACTGGCTGAATGGCAAGTGCCCAAGCCCCAAGCCAAAAAAAAAACATGAACTGAATTTGGTGGATTTCATATGCATTCTAGAATGGATATGAAATCATATCCCTTCAGTAGAATGTTATGTGGCTTACCTACATAGTAATTATGCAGTTTCTGCAGAAAATAGGCAAAATTACACCGTCTCGCAAACAAAAGTATCTAGCAAATATTACAAAGATATTAGCATTCTAGTCGTGGTAAAATCGTTTTTTGTTGGTTTTATTTTTTTTATTAAACATACCTATGTTAAATTTAATTATACTAATATTCACATTTGTCTTATATTCAGAATTTTTTTTATAAACACATTAATGAATGAA